GTCCCCCATCCCATCCATCCCCGTTCACATCCCAACCCCACTCCCCTGTGCCACCACCACCATTTGAAAATGTCTTTTCATGTTGGTTTGGAATTCTGCCACTCCCAACATACTTTATCTTAAAGCTGTGATCATTTCATGAACCCTGATCATACAGATGTGGACAGTCTTTTAAAGAGTAAGTAGATGTCCACAACAGGACGAGCAGGGACAAGAGACAAAGTCTGTATGAATGGGCTAAACCAAAGAGTGATTTCATATCAATGGGTCCAATATAAGGTCAAGCAGGACAGGTAGGAATGAGCCAGTAGGACAGCCTGCTCAGCCTTGTCTAAGCTGGTGATAGGGAAGGTTCAGATGCCAGGTGTTTGTGGAGGCTAATTGTTTCACGTCTACTCAGACCAGAAATAATCACACAGAAATTGTATTATTACAACACTGTTTGGCCTATTAGCTCACACTTCTTATTGGCTAGCTCTTATATCTTAAATTAACCCATTGAATTAATTTGTGTATCACCTTGTAGCTGTGGCCTGAAAGACCCTAATTTCTAGGGTTCAGGGAAGGATCCCCCAGACTCAATAAGCCACGTCAATGGATGATGCAAACAGCAAGAGGAGTCTTTATTGTTGAAGGCGCCAACGGGAGACTCAGTACTCCACTGAGACTGAGCCCCCCTTGTATTTTTCCAGCCAGTATTTATAGGGTCTCAGGGTTACATAATGGGGAAGCATAGAAACAGCAACATCATTGGTCAACTCAAATTAAATTAACATGGGATCAACATCAGGACAAAACAAGTCTACAAAAACAAGTCCAAATTAAGCTAGTTTCAGCCAGTTTCTGCCCCCCTGGGTTTCGATACACAAAGGACTGGGTGTTTTTCTCAAGACTGCTTCTGCTGCCCACAGATAGCCTGTTTTTATCCCCTTGGTAGATGCAGCCGGTCTTAAGACTGCTTCTGCCACTCACAGATATCCTATTTTTCCCTGACCTAGTTGATCAAAACATCTTAAGATGGAGACTAGGGTTGGGGTCTTTCAATCTTAAGATGGAGACTAGGGTTGGGGTCTTTCAGCCTACTGGTAAGGTTTCATCCAACATCTGTCTCCTGCGGTGACTACATGGATTCTCCCTGACTCCGCCTACTCTCTCTTCCTCTGACTGCTTGGAATTTCCTCCTTGCCTTATTTTGCACTGCAATAGGCCCAAAGCAGCCTTATTCATTAACTAATAGTATTCACAGCATACAGAGGGTAATCCCACATCACCTCCCCTTTCTTTCTAATTAAAAAGGAAGGGTTTTTAACTTTAACATAGTAAAAGTACATATATCAAAACAGGTATCAAGCAAGAACTAAAATTACAATAGTTAAATCTACTTTATCTTTTATCATAACTAAGGAAAACTATAACTATTATTTAACTCCATAAAAGACTCCAGAAGGATATAATACTACCTAAGTAATCAGGAAGTACATTGTAAGCAACTTCTAAAACTCTAGGATTGACAGAGACATCTTGCTGCCTGGACAGTCACCCAAAGTTCTTCTGTAACATTGGGGCATCCATCTTCAGCCTACAGGCCCATAGTATCTAGCAGACTTTTCCATGACGCAGGAAATTTTAAAGACACTTTTGCCTATATTGGTAGTGTGTCAGTCTCTTTCTTTTATGTTTGCAGAATGTTATGCAGACTTTTTTATGAAGCAGGAACCCTGAAGGATTGTCTTACCTTCTTTAGGCAACTTTAGCAGTCATTTTTCTGTGGGTCCTGCATGTCCAGTTCATACAGCATACCATCAAGCAGTCCAGGCAAGAGCAATTTCTTGCCCAAATGGCCAGCAAACTCCATAAGGAGCCTCTTTGATGTCCATCATCCTCTTGAATTAGATTGGTGCTACCAGGAGCAGATGTGTCTCATTGTCATGAAAAGTCCTAAGTTCTTAAAACATTTAAATGCCATATTCTGTAAGTCTTTGAAAAGTTTGAAGAATACCTATCTATCTGAAGTATATCTCTGTACATCTAGAAAACCTAACTAACATGACTACAAGCTGGACTACTAAAATGACTATCTATTAACCTGTATTTCTTAATTATACATTACATTTTTAAATGAGCTGCACAAACACAATATCTTAATCAAGAGCAGAAATATAACAAAATTGACCTTAAATTTGTATCAATAAACGAAGATCCATACCAATGCAAAATTTTCATCTCTATTTCATATCCCCCATTTTTTAAATTGATTGTGATCATTAATTATTTAAAATTAACCTCCTTTAAATAAAAACAAACATTTATAAACAATCATTTTGGAAATTTGGACATAGCTTTCTCCAAACTGCTTCATGCTCTTTGTTGGATGACACATTTTTAGGGTTCATGGAGATCTTTTGATGGGTCTTGTTCCATCAAACTACTTTAGCCTGGAAGGAATCCACAGGTTTTTATCTTCTGTGAAAACAAAAGCAGAACCTCTTTTCCAAAGCAACATATCCTTAGACCCTATTTTTGAAGTCAAGATACCTTTAAAATATATACGTTGGTTTAGCTTAGCAGCCCCCAGGATCAAATATTTCTCTGCAAGTCAAAAAATTCAAAGAAAACACAATAATATACATAACCTAGACTCTCTGTGTATTTTCTGTATTTACATGACTTATTTTTCTTTACTCCTTTAATCTATAAGGGTCATACTCTTTTATATTACTTTTACTGTCTCATTAAAGACTTTGTTTTATTTTTAAAACTATTTCTTTTTGTTACTGTTTATACTCTTTTCTTCTTTCTCCCAAGACTACTACATTTTTTAAACATGCTGTGTCTCATTTAGATGTCTTTTATGTCTGAATCATTTTAAAGTAGTAAGTAGTGTGGTCACAGCAGCCCTGGATACTGGCTTCACCTCCTTTTAACATGGCCAGGGGATTTGGTCCAGGATTAAAATGGTTGTGTTTGATTATTTACAAGATCACTAGGACAGCCATAGATAGATGGCACTGAGAAGAAAGTAAAAGCAGACAGCTCACCCAGAGAATGAATTGAACTGTACCTCACAGGGCCAAAGTCATGTTCACTGAAAGGTGAGGGCGGGTTTGGGATGGTGTTGATGAGATGTGTGCAGCTCCGCGCAGGGATGAAGAGGTATAGAGTAGTCTGGCCTATGGCTCAGGAGCTGGCTGAATTGTGCTGCAGTGCCCAAGAGAGATGGCAGAGGAAGAGGGCTGCTGTGGAGAGGAACTGTTGAGACAGTCTTATGCCCTCTTCCCTTTGTTTTTTGTCTTCATCCTGTGGCAACTGATTAAAAGGAGGAAGCTATCCTCACTGATAATTCTTCCACCCCAAATTACCCCTAACAAGCCCCTATGTAATGATTTGACCAGCACCCCAGGAACACTCAGGGCTAGTTCAGCTTTAGATGTATGATGGCGAGTTATTTAACCCTTCTATTTTCTTCCCTTGCTTTTATTTAAGAGACAGAATGCAATTCTGAGCTATTAGGTACACATAGACTAGCAGTTTCAAAGTTTGAAGTACTGTCAGATCAAGACAAAAGCTTCGCCATGGCTTCAAATGAAGAAGGTCTTCAGAAGTCTTGGCCTAGGTGCTCATGGGGTGTCAGGAGCCCGGGACCACTTGGTTAGCTTCAGACCATCAGGGGCAGACAGGAAGGAGCTCTCTTCTGTTTGTTCAGTTACCATCAGTGACTCCTTCTTTGTGTAAGATGGTAATGAGGCCATTAGGAGAGGCTCACCTGAAGTGCAGCTTGTGAATCCAAGGTAATTAAACACCTTCTGAATGAAAGGGAAAGGCCAGGGAAGGTTAAGTGAGGAATAATCCACAGCACAGGTGGCCCAAGGCCTTTGAGGAACCAGAAGAGCGACAGCACAGGCACTGTTTCAAAGGATGGAAATGTCACCTTCGTCCTCAAGAGGGACAAGGTTTCTATTATTGGGGGGGGGGAGTAGGTAATATTTTTTTTAACATTTTAGTAAAGCATATTTTTTCATACTTCTTTCTCAAGTTGAAAATTCATGACAGAACCTACCTGGGGTCAAGAGACCCTCAGGGGCTTTCAGTACTGCCATCTTTGAGTCTGTGATTCCAGAAAGGGAAGCACAGCAGAGCAGTACATGTGCACTCAACGTGCATGCGCATACACACATGCTATGATAGATGCCTGACTACTTTCAGATAGAGACTGTGTTCTCTTATCCCTCACTTTATAGTACCTGGCCCCTGGCACTTGTTCCTGTCCCTTCTGGCCTTATTATAGTCCAGGCAAATGACCCACCCCTATAGCAACCTCACAGGAGTGTTCCCTTTACTTGGTTAACCATATTTTAATGACTGACTGTGTTAGCATTGTGCTCTGTAACTTCACTAGTCCTTTTAGCTGATCTTCACTGCACAAGTTCCAGCAACAGAAGAGTTTTGCTAGTCAGGTTCTTGCACCCAAACCTCTGCTATCTCCATATCATGAATCCTTATAATAGCCACCAGTACCCAGTATTCATCATCCCAAAGCAGAAACTGACAAATACAATGTAGTGTACAATAGAATATTATTCAACCACAGAAAAAAATGAAGACCTCATATCTATGATTATTTAAAAAACAGCATTATGATACATGGTAGAATCTGTTCATGTGTGACCACCTGCTGGTCCTGTGATTTCATGCACATGACTTATGCAGCATGGGCAGGGCAGGTAGATAATTGTCCAGATGAGGGTGGGGCATGAGGTTTCCTCTGGAGGTGGTGAAATGTTCTAGAATTAGATGGTTGTGATTGTAGTGCAATCTTACACTTAAACCACCAAACTGTACTCTCTAAATGAGTGCTTTTAGAGATATGTAAAATATACCACAGCAAGCCCTAATGCTGAGGACACTTTTTCCCACCAAGTTAACCCCGTCCTGGATGCCAGACTCAGCCATCTGTCCTTCTGCAACCTGCTCTCACACTGTCTTCTTTCTCATGTCACTAGATCTCTTCCCTGAAGAACAGGCTGAAGAAGGTCTCTACAACCACAGGCGATGGGGTGGCCAGAGCCTTTCTCAAAGCCCAGGCTGCTTTCTTTGGCAGCTACAGGAATGCACTGAAAATTGAGCCGGTGAGTAGCCTCTTAGCGTGTTACAGCATCAATGTTTGGTTAGGGATCCACTGGCTATGAAAATCCTTGGTTCACATCAAGGTGTGTTGTGAGTTTGTGTGTAGTACAGGGTCTTGGATGAAGGAGACTTACAAGGCCTTTGTTTCTGTGAAAGGAAGACATGAAAGCACCCCCCTGCCTGTGTTAAATCACATGCCAGGTCCTTCATGGTTGTCCAGCTCTCACTGAAGGTTCCCAGGTCAACTGATAGTGACAATTAGCTCTATTTTCCAAATGAGGACACCAAGGTTTCAGGGAAGAGAATGGTTTGCCAACAGTTTCAAAGCTCATGATTTTGTCCTATGCCTCATTGCCCCATGTCTTTCAAAAGGTTTTCTCATCCTAGAAATTCACTTTTTGATGGCTCTTGTATATATAAAATCATGGTTTAAATGACAGCAACACACAGCTCCAATTCTGGCATGATCTTGGGCCCAGGCAAACCAATCAAATTTTAAGAGTTAGTATAATTAAAGAAAATGTTGTCCTCACCCCTGTCTAAAAGGAGAGTGGGAAATAGAGTGGCCCACTATTTCCCCAGGGTTGGTTGGACCCAGCAAGCTGGACACATTTTCACCCTGGTACTTACCTCATAGTTTTCACATGCATTTCTAGAATCCAGATACGTGTTGCTAGATATGAGCTGGACATATGAGCCCCCAGAGAAGTTGTTTTTGGTTGAGATTGGTTGACAGGCTCTGGGTTAAAGAGCAGAAACCCAGGAGTTTAAAGGATGGCTTTATACTTCTTAGTGTATAAAAGTTGAACAAGTCACTCCATGAGGTTAAACTTTACTTTCTTCACCTGCAAAATGTGTATAAGCATGCTTGCCTATCACGTCTGGTTGCTGTCAGCATCACACCAGCCCTAAAATTTGTCACAAGAAAGGTGAGACCTGCATGGGGTCTGATGAGTGAGGCTTGAAGGAACAGAACTGAGATGCCCTACTGTGCTGCAGATGTGGGCTGCTGAGCATATCACAACTTGTCGGCAATACTCCTGTGTCTGGAGTGGGAGGTTGAACTGAGCCAGATGTGGCAGAGGCTTGGATGTTGGTCTAGGAATGTGCACTTTACTCTGTAGGAGCATATTGTTCTGAGTGGAGATGTGATATGCTGATGGCAGGTTTAAGCAGTAAGACAATGTTGGGCTATACCAGGAGAAGGTTCCATGGTGGAAGAAAGAACTTGACCAAGTAATAGATGAAATATAGGAGGCACATGGCATATAATGTCAAGTGGCTCCTGAGATTAGGAAGCGGAGAAAGGATGGTGATGTTTCTGGTAAAAAGGGGGAAAGCCTGATACCATGGTATTCATACCAGTGGGATTTGTAATGGAAATGAATTGGCAAAGGCTTAATGTTCACAATAAACATTGATAAGATGCCTTATGTATCTGTATAACTCCACGTAATACATACTATATATATACATATATACATATTTGTGTACACACACATACACACACACACACATACAGGAACAGATTTGGCTTGTAGATGTGACACATTTCCTTGAATCTAAGTTATCATTTGGTCATAAGATACACCTTTGTTGTAGATGTACCTTTGCTGTGGTGTTAAAGAAAAGAGAGCATGATATCAATTATCAGACACATCCATGTTTCAGTGGGAAGAAGTTTTCATCTAAGAATCGATGAGATATGGCAGAACTATCATGCTTTCACTCTCATTCATCTGTGCAAGGGTAGCTTTTGTCTGTAAAGCAAAACGGAAAATCAGAAAGCCTGAAGTTTCCCGTTTAAGCATTGTGCTGATAGTGATCACCATGTTACCTAAGTGGGTTTTAAGCTGTAAATTTAATTATATCAGTTTCTCCTCATCTGAAAAATGGAGTAGTACAATTCCTCATGCAAAATTGTTTAGAATGACTGCAGAGCACACATGAATGTGAAAAGCTACTGCAAGGCTGTAAGAATGGCATGTTAGGTAATGATCTGGGGTATGGGGCAGACAGTGCTACAAGACAGGAATGCTTCCCAAGGATCGTATCTTTTAGCCATTTGTATGCCTATAAAATTGTACCAATTGGAGCTAAAAAGATGGCTTAACAGTCAAGAATGCATATTATTCTTATAGAAAACCTGAGCAGTTCCAAGTACCCACATTAGGTGACTCACAACCACCTGTATGTAATTTGTGCATCAGAAGATCTGGTTCCTTCTTCTAGCCTCATGAACAACACTCTTCAAGCACATAGACACACCCACACATACTCATAATGATAGATAGATAGATAGATAGATAGATAGATAGATAGATAGATAGATAGATAGATAGATAGATAGATAACCTTATCTACCTAGTTAGGTCTAGATAGTTAGGTTGGAGATGTAGCTCAATAGTCGAGAGCCTGCCTAGTATACACAAGGCCCTGAGTTCTAGCCATTGAACTAAGAGAATAAGATAAAATAAATAGCATTTGCCCTTGGCTAAAATGTTAAAGAAACAGAACTAGAAATAAGCCCCCTGGTCCCATTATCTAGAGTTGAAGTGGTGTCTCTTGTCTTCTATTTGCTTTTGGTTCATTTTGATTGGAGTCTTGAGTTTTATTTTTTGTTTTGTTTTGTTTACTTCTTTTAAGCCCTTGAGGTGACCTTGACAAATCCAGTATCCCACTTTCTAGTCGTTTTTGCCTTTTAGTTATGAGTAAGCACTCTTCACATCATATAAAATCTCTTATCAAATGTCATTAATGAAAGCCCAGTTACCTGGGAGACTTCCAAAAGGGTAAATATATAAGCTCAATGACAGATTGTTGTCGAGTTCCTGTGATCTGAAATCGGGGCCAGGGTCCACGCATTATCCTGTTGCTGGCCTTTATTGACTTTTGTTGAGATTTCCAAATTTTAAGTCATGCTGATAAGAACATCTTTTTCTAAATCTTAATGTATAATTTGAATGATTTTTCTTAAGCATTTTCCCTAGCATGGATTTACTGAGTCAAAGGATCCAAGAACATTTAAGGCTTTGGTGCTGAGGAAAAAAGAAATGGGTGATTGGGTACAGAACAGAGTGGAGGAGCAAGAGACTAAGAGAGAGAGAACCTGCAGAGAGGAAGGCCCTCAGCAGTAGTCTCTGCTGGCCACTCTGCCACACCTGCTCTTCATACTTGAGTGTTGCTGTCCAGACTGGTGTGGTGGCCTCCCACCCAGAACAGGACTCTGTGATAGTAGAAAACTGGTGAACTCAGAGCCACCACTTGCATTGCTCTGAAAACACAAACTACTGCTGTCTCCTCTGCTCCTAAGCAGCTGTGACCTAGGGTGCCTTCACACCTCTGAACCTTAGTTTCTTTCCATACAGAGCCCGCTTCATGCAGGATTGTAGTGAAACTTAAATAAGCCCAGCCCAGGGACTAACAGCCAGCCTGTCTCCTGTTCCTTACAAGGATTTCTCTCCAGCTAGACGTATTTGGGATGCAGCTACTGCGGGGCCAGTTGATCCCTGCCTGCCTGTGTAGAAGGACCAGCCCTGGCCTGATAGGCTCTTGCCTGTGGCTTAGAGCTCACTTGAGAATCTTTGTGAGTTTTTTCCTACTGGAAACATTTAGAGTACCTTTCTCCGGCATCAGAAGAAAGAAAGAGGCCCTCTTGTTGAGGCTGCTCCATACTGGGCCTAACCTGGGCTGGGTGGATTTTTTCAGGATTTCCTCAGTGTCTTTCCACAAATCAGAGTGTAGTTCACCTTCAACTGGCTTTCCAGCCACAATCTACCCAATTAACATGAACTTTGCCTTGTCCATTTTACAGATGGGGCTGAGGCTTTCCTGGGCAGTGAGTTCCACAGAGTGTAGGAGAGCAGAAGGAGACTCCAAGACAAGGTTTCTTCCACATCACTCTGATCTATGTCTGTATTGGTTCTCACATGTTCCATCCTGTGCCAAGTATAGGCCATGGCCCAAAATGTAGGTGTCAGTCAGTGTATTTTGACCCATTAGACAAAAGAATGGGTGAAAGACATGTCAGAGTGGTGTTGGAGGCAGGGGTTGACCCCAGGCTTGTGTTCCATGTGCATGTATTATTCCCTGTCCTATTTGGAGGCTCTGGAGGTAGCTTCTCCCTGAAAGAGGGGAGGTGTCCACAGATCACAGGGGCATGTGATCCACTTTTCAATTACCTGGAAAACATCAGTGGCAAAGCCCAGGGTATTTAACAGTGTTAGCCAAACCAACTTCTTCTTCCCACTTAAATGACAGAACCACAAGCAGCCAGGAAGCCCTGTTCGGAGAACCTCTTTATCCATGTCAAGCACAGCACAGGCTCCAGCTCATTTATTTAATCCTTTCTTGCTCTCTGACACGCCTCCTGGTAGTTGCCAGGCAACTCTGGGAGCAGCAGTGTGTGTTAGGGATTAACTAGTTAGTGCTGGGGTCCTTTTTAGCAAGAAGGAGATAAAAGATAAATGATTTTAATTGCTATGCAAAGGGTCCATTATCTACTTGGTAGAAGAGTGCAGCTTCACAGGGTAGGATAGTGGTATAGTTCTTGAGTTGCCTTGAATGACTCCCTTCTCCCTCCTAGAGAGAAGCATACTTTTTAAAAAGATTATTCTGCTTTTCTCCTTTGTTTAAAATGATATCCGAATATCTGAGCAAAACTGACCCATCCCTTTTGAAACTCACTGACCTCAGTTGAAGATTTGCTCCTTCTGTGCACTCTCAACTTCTCTACATGGAGTCACCCCAGGGCAGAGCACATGAGGGTACATCCTCTGTATTTGCCCACTGTGGGTACTGGAAATACCTGCTCAAAGAGTTGAACCTGGGCATGTTGGAACCTGGAGAAGTGGCTTGTTATGTTTGTGAAACATTACAGGTACTCTTTCTTCAGTTAGCTAGTAATGCCCTCTTAGGGGTAACTCACGACCCTGCCTTCCTAAGATGACAGGAGCCCAGATCCTGCCCGTAGTGCTGGGGTGGATGCCATAAACAAGCTGTA